GGGAAAGAGTTTAATACATACAGTACACTGTTAATTGTTGTAGGAAGAGAGAGAACTGTACTGCAGATGTTGCGGAAACTGAGCAGTCAAGAAAGCAAATGTCTTAAGTTACTTTACTTTAACTTTCAATTTTATTTTAATCTCAAAATATTTATGATCTCTTTACCTGTGTGTATCTAGGGGCTTTTAGATTGAAATTATTTCGTTATAATACCTTATAATACTCTTGCCCAATTATGTAGCAAATGGCAATCTGTTTGTACTGTGATCTTTTATTGATATTTTTTACTGTAGGTTTAGTTCTTATAGCATTACTTTGCTATAGTTGATAACACACTAATGGTTGACATGATAGTACCCAATATAGTATAACTCGCAGGACGTGAAAAATGTGAAAGTGATTTTAAAATAATATTCATAAAACAAAATCAACCAAAAACACATATACAAGGTGAAAAATAATGTACTCACCTGTACTAATACACGTTACAAATAGATGGCCAGTAGATTCCGAGGTGAACAGGCAGTGCAGGTAACAGTGGGTCACACCACGACAGAGCAGACAGGGTAGAACAGGAGCCGATAACGGTCAGAGTAGACATCACCTGTCATAGATGGCGCCCCCAGCAGTCGGCGATGGTTTTCCACCAATCAGGAACCATCTCCTAACTTGTGTTCATACTTCCCTTACTATACAGTTGTTACGAGTTGGGGATTTAGAATATAGTTAAAAGTCTACCCAGATCCCAACAGGCAACAACAATAAAAAAAACAAAGACAATCTGACTATAAAAGGGTAGACAAAGGATGGGAGTTTTTGTTGTGCATAATAAAGTACCATAAATTCCTTCACAAAATATTCAGCTTCTTATAAATTACCCTTAACCATACTTAACCTAAACATAAGCAACATTGGCTTAACAGTATATACATAATTATACAACATTCTAAAGCATGTGGAGGTGGGAGGTAACATAAGATTACAAAATACTCAAGTGCAGTGCTGAGATGGCTGACGAGTAAGGCTGAGTATTGAAGACGATGGTAGGTAGTCACTGTGCCGTAGGTTTCCAGGATAGGTGATCCTAGTGTGGTCACTTCCCAGAGTGAACTGAACTGTCCTCGATCTGGAGCTGATGAGGAAGACTTGGAGGAGGTGACGCAACAACCAGGATATGGAGAAGGGAAACCCCAGAGTGGTAACTAAGACTAGTCATACTCGGGTTTCGTCCCTAGATGGCGTTGCTCGTGGTGCTGGGTAGGTAGATCATGACAATAGATGGCGTGGTTCGTAACACAGTATATGTCTTACACTTACCCTCACTATACAGTATATGTCCTACACTTACCCTCACTATACAGTATATGTCTTACACTTACCCTCACTATACAGTATATGTCCTACACTTACCCTCACTATACAGTATATACCTTACACTTACCCTCACTATACAGTATATGTCCTACACTTACCCTCACTATACAGTATATGTCTTACACTTACCCTCACTATACAGTATATACCTTACACTTACCCTCACTATACAGTATATACCTTACACTTAGCCTCACTATACAGTATATGTCCTACACTTACCCTCACTATACAGTATATGTCCTTCACTTACCCTCACTATACAGTATATACCTTACACTTACCCTCACTATACAGTATATGTCTTACACTTACCCTCACTATACAGTATATGTCCTACACTTACCCTCACTATACAGTATATACCTTACACTTACCCTCACTATACAGTATATACCTTACACTTACCCTCACTATACAGTATATACCTTACACTTAGCCTCACTATACAGTATATGTCCTACACTTAGCCTCACTATACAGTATATGTCCTACACTTAACCTCACTATACAGTATATGTCTTACACTTACCCTCACTATACAGTATATACCTTACACTTACCCTCACTATACAGTATATACCTTACACTTACCCTCACTATACAGTATATGCCTTACACTTACCCTCACTATACAGTATATGTCCTACACTTAACCTCACTATACAGTATATGTCCTACACTTACCCTCACTATACAGTATATACCTTACACTTACCCTCACTATACAGTATATACCTTACACTTACCCTCACTATACAGTATATGTCCTACACTTAACCTCACTATACAGTATATACCTTACACTTACCCTCACTATACAGTATATGTCCTACACTTACCCTCACTATACAGTATATACCTTACACTTACCCTCACTATACAGTATACCCTCACTATACAGTATATGTCCTACACCCCTCACTATACATATGTATTACCCTCACTATACAGTATATACCTTACACTTACCCTCACTATACAGTATATGTCCTTACACTTACCCTCACTATACAGTATATGTCCTACACTTACCCTCACTATACAGTATATGTCCTACACTTACCCTCACTATACAGTATATGCCTTACACTTACCCTCACTATACAGTATATGCCTTACACTTACCCTCACTATACAGTATATGCCTTACACTTAGCCTCACTATACAGTAAATACCTTACACTTAGCCTCACTATACTGTATATGCCTTACCCTCACTATACAGTATATGCCTTACACTTAGCCTCACTATACAGTAAATACCTTACACTTAGCCTCACTATACTGTATATGCCTTATACTTACCCTCACTATACAGTATATGCCTTACACTTAGCCTCACTATACAGTAAATACCTTACACTTAGCCTCACTATACTGTATATGCCTTACACTTACCCTCACTATACAGTATATGCCTTACACTTACCCTCACTATACTGTATATGCCTTATACTTAATCTCACTATACAGTATATGCCTTACACTTACCCTCACTATACAGTATATGCCTTACACTTACCCTCACTATACAGTATATGCCTTACACTTACCCTCACTATACAGTATATGTCCTACACTTACCCTCACTATACAGTATATACCTTACACTTACCCTCACTATACAGTATATGCCTTATACTTACCCTCACTATACTGAATATACCTTATACTTAATCTCACTATGCAGTATATGCCTTACACTTACCCTCACTTATCAGTTACTTGTGTTATGTGTCTCTGAGCGTTACGAGTTATGAGTATCATTTAGAGAGGACAGCTTGAGAATTCCCCTTCCAAGTTAGGACTAAATTACCGCTACTTGTGATAACTTAATTGCGTTTCAGAGATCTACACCGACGGCCGTGAACCAGCACTTAGCTTCAAGTTAAGAAAAAAAATCGCATTTAATGTATTTAGCCTGGTGTGTGCTGTTAAAGTGAAGCAGTTTGTTGTGTGTTATTTTATGTCATCATTAGCGGGTGACAGCGAAGTAGGTGTGTGTGTGGTGGGGGGGGGGTTGAGTTCCTGAGGGTGAAAAGGGAAGAGGAGGAACACTTCACATAATATTAAGGGGTTGAGTGACAGGAACAGTATCAGTGAAGTGAAACAAATTATAATATATGAATGTACGAAGTAAAGGAGTGGGGAAAAGGAAACTTATGGGGGGAAAGAATGAGAGTAAATTAATGCCAACTGATGATAGAAGAAGAGTGATCAAAACAGGAATGGGAATGAAACTTTTAGGTAAAAATAAAAGAATAGTGAACAAACACGTAAATATTGGAAGAACTTAAACTATAATTAAGAGAGATGTGGAAGAACTAAAATAATGGTAAGAATGAATGTGTAGGAGCAATATGAGAACACCAGAGCAACAAGGGCTAACAGCAGTATAATATAACAGAGCCATGATGTTATAAGGAGCTTGTACGTCAGTGGGAGAAACGTTGGTAAATTACACTTAATGTCGAAAAAATGATGAATACAAAAAGTAATGACACAACAAACACATTATCATTATTATTAATATTATTATTATTATTTTAAACTCAGCATTGCCCTGAAACATAAATCTTACTCTTCACGTTGGGTCTAGAATACTCCCACATCCTTGAGGCCCCAACCAGCTGACCTCTGCAAGCACATCTGTATACTAACTCAGGCATGTGTAGAACGAGGGGTCATAATACTCCCTTAATTGTGAGGCACATTGATATCTATTACTGCTAACGGCCCAGTAACTCATGTCTCGGTTTATGAGGCAGCGTCTACCTGCATTAATTCATGTGCTGGAATATATCTCTGAGGCGGTGTTTCCTCCACGTACGCCCAGCCCCGACTCTCTGTTGTGTAGGATGCTACTCCCTCTCTGCCTCTCTCCCACAAGATTGAACTCGTTACAGTATTTGCTTGCGTGTAATACGAATCCTCTGAAACAATATACAAATAAATCCTCTCAATATGTCCTGGAAATCACACATCCTTAATATAGCTAAAGCTTCCTCCCGAAAGTAGGGAATGCTGTACAGATGCTGTAGCTACTTCACTCCTGAGTAGTTGCTCCAAGTATATAAGGGATTCATTTCCTAACTTGGAGTACTGCTCTCATATCTGGGGTGGCTCTTCTTTTGTCCAACTGTTAGATAGGGTGGAATCAAAGGCATTTTGTCTTATTAACTCTCCTCTAGTCGACAATTTTTCTTCCCTTTCTCTTCGCCGCAATGTTGCTTCACTCTCTCTCTCTTTTCAGGTACTTTAACGGGCAATGTTCGGTGGATTTGGCATCCTGTGTACCGCCGGCAAGGCCGTGGGTTCGTAACACACGTCTTGCCCGCGGTGCCCACCGTTTCTCTGTGGATGTCGGTCACACTAGAATAACCCGTTATAGTACACCCTCTTTCCTCATACAGCCAAACTGTGGAATGCTCTGCCTTCTTCTGTGTTCACATACTTATACAATGTCTCAATTTAAAAAGCTGGTTTTCCGGCATCTTCGTTGTGTAGATTAACACAAGCAAGAAGTATTTTATAAGAATTAAGTTTGACACTTATAAGAAATATTAACCAATGTAACAATTGAGATGAGAAAAAAGGACTTAGTTCTAAGAATATTTATATATAGGTGGAAAAAACTATTTATTCTTGTATTTTTTATAGTAACAGTAAATAAAAACAATTAATGGTGTGAGAATATGGATAGAAACATAAAACACAAGTTAACATAACCTCACCCCCTCCCCTCCCCAGGTACAGCACTGTGGGTCACATACCAGAACAAAACTTTGAGTTGATATATAACTAATCAACTACTGATAAGTCATTGTTAACGGGTGTTGTTTTGCTAGGTACAAGGCTGGCGTGCAGTAGGGCAGGAAAAGTGACGCTTAAGTGGTCCTGAATACATACTGTTGTAGAGTCGCTGATACTCTAAGTCTGGTGTAGTGGCGATGTTATCAATAGGATATATAATTAATAAAGATCCAAAATCTGTATAGGTCGATCACATTAACTGTGTCCTACGATTAAAAAAGATCCTGGGTCAGTAAGTGACCGATGATCTTTATTCAGTGAAGGTCGTGGGCTGCCAAGAGGTCGAGGGTCTTTACTGAGTCAAGGGGCTGATCTTTGCTAGGGCCGGAGGTGCTGGAGGATCCAGGGCATGTAATGGTTGACGTTAGTGTAGACACCCTGACTGCGCTCTGTCCCGCAGAACCTGGGACCTTTGCTGACGATCCCCACTAAGTAGAACCTGGTAACTTGCGGGTTGGAGACAATGAGAGGACCACCTGAGTCACCGCGGCACGTGTCCTTCCCCGCCTCGCCTCCAGCACACACCACCTGTACCAAAATAAACCAAAGTGTAAGAGAGATGAAGGGAAGGGGGTAACCCTTTGGCTTTCTCCTAAAACTTAATTAACTCTGTTGACGGTTTCTTTAAAATTAACTCACATTGTATCTCGAGGCTTCTTTAAACCCACTGACTAATGGGGTGGTAGGCAGTCCCTAGACTTTGGCCAAAGGAAGCACTACAGTCTGGGTATAAAACTGGTCTTACCAAGTTACAGTGTTGGTATTAACTGGGCCTTACCATGTTACAGTCTGCGTACTAACTGGTCTTACCATGTTTTTGTCCGGGTAGTCATTGAGTAGTCTGCCGCAGAACTCATCACTGATGGGCAGCAGGATGTGCTGAAGTACACTTCGGAACACCGGCTTAGTGGGATCTGTGGAAGGAGGCAGCGACTTTGGTTCATAAGACGAGTCAGTGATTCCTTTTATGTAAATAAGCACAGTTGCCTGCACTCGAACCTACCACGACCTATGTGTGTGTGTAGGAGCACATTTACAAGATGCAGCAAAGCAGCGCCGTAGTCATGGGTGTGAAACCGTGCAAGGATTACCCTGTTTGCTGGTTCCTCATAGTTCAGTCCTAGTCACTCGGTCGTGGCTAAGCAACACTGCTGCATAACACGTATTACAGGGTTCGTTTATCTGTCTATCTCGTTTATTGTTTATATCTTATCACAAATAGGGTAATTTCACTGTGCCACGCACATTAATTCAGCCCTGACTAAGGCGCTGCGGTGCTTCATCGCAAACCCGAGCCCTCACGGTCATGTGGAGGCAACTGTTCCCCGTACCAGAATGAGTTAAAAATGTAAAGAAGAATATAAAGTAAGAAAATAAATAAATAAGCTAAAATCAGCTATGATATTCGTCATGCCAAAACATTATCTTGTCCATACAGTTGTTTATTAAGTTTCCTTATTCATCTGTTTTATTTTGACTCCCGCTGTCGGGACTCTAATTTCTTTCAAACAATTTTTTTTTATTCTGTTCCGATCAACTCGTCTTTAAGTTTTAACCATTGGTGTCACTATCTGGTTAATTCATATACATTTTAAGAATTTGTTTCCGTTATTTTCATTTTGTTAACGACGACATTTAGGTTGTTGGAACTCAGTGACTTACAGTAATGTGATCTTCAGTTTCCTTAAGTAGAGATCATTCACAGAAAAACCTCGTCCAGGTGCGTCAGGAACATCTCGACACTATAACAACTATTGGGTCATTGATTTTGTCCTCTAAATCCTTTATTTATTATTTACCATCACTAAAGCTTACAGTTTACTCCTGTTCTGGTGTTGAGTTCATTATATCATTTATATGTTACGAAATATGATTAAATTATTTCGAAAAACAAGGATAAGGGAAATGACGTTACAATTACGCTTACCAACCCTATCGTGACGACAGGAGAGGCAGTGTTCATGACGATAGTCATCGCATTCAGAGGTAAAAGTGCATTCCTTATTTATGTATGTAGGAGTCGTAGTAATTTATATAAATTTGAGCTATTGAAATATTCTGTAATACTTATATATATATATATATATATATATATATATATATATATATATATATATATATATATATATATATATATATATATATATATATATATATATATATATATATATATATATATATATATATATATATATATATATATATATATATATATATATATATATATATATATATATATATATATATTAAAAAAATACAAATTTAATTTCTTAGTGGTGCACTTTACAGAGGCTAAGATTAATTGAGCATCATACGAGTATGTGTGGATGCAAACCCTGCCTGCGAACAATTATCATTTCAGGATAAATATTGACCTCGTGACACTATTAATGTACTGTAAGTAAATGTGTCTCAGTATCCAGGTGTTTCTTGCCATCATTTATATGAAAATTGGAATAGCAACAGAAAATGGAAAAAAAAAGATGAGGAAAAGTGAGATGATAACTGTAGGAATCACACAAAGATGTAGCTGGGTGTTCGGTAATCTTAACTAATAAGCTGTCATATTAAAATAAATATTAAAGGGTTAAAAATGCTCAAAAAGAAACTCGCGCACGCACACACACACGCACGCACGCACGCACGCACGCACACACACACACACACACACACACACACACACACACACACACACACACACACACACACACACACACACACACACACACACACACACACACACACTCGCAAACATATGATTGTAGGAAAACAAATTGCATAGCATTTGGTTACCACAGTAAACTCACCAATGGTACCCCAACCAGCTGCCCAGCCAAACCTATTGTTAAAGTTTCTGTCGGTGATGTTCAGGTCTTGCTCCAGGCTTCTGGGAAGGCACACAGGCGACAATAAAACTGTAAAGGAACCCACTGTGTAGTAACCAAGTCTACCACATATATGATCACATTACTGTACTATATCATAATAACCTTCGATAACATGAAAGATGGGATTACTACCATTGAGTTATCTACTGCTCATAAACTGCGAAATTTGATAATGAATCTATAGTTATTTGTACTATCAGCTATAGTAGGTCTCGGGCCCAACCATCACACCAACCAACCCGAAAGTAATTGTTCACCAAACTAAATGGAAACACAGAGGAATTCATGCACAAACACTCGCCCATGCACATACAATAATAACCTTCTCCAGGAGGGATTGAACTTGGCTTCAGTGAAGGAGAGGATTGAGAGAGGCGTGAGGCCTTTCCTGGATACAGACAACTGAGACTGGGACAAAGGTAGTCTGACCCAACCTGGAGAGTGAAAAGTGTCTGGGGAGTTGGTAACTCCACCCACAGTTGCTTCATATATCGATGGGGGTAAAGGGCAGGAAGTTCTCGTGCTCACATGAGAAATTTATGGTAAGAAAGAACTCTGATGGGTGGATGGAGGTGAGAAACACAACACTCGTCTGGATGAGTGGAAGTGAGAAGCACAACACTCACCTGGGTGGAAACAAGATACGAGTGAGGAACTCTGTTCTCACATGAGTAGGGGAGGCGAAATGTGATACAGAACACTCATGTGAACATATAGAAATAAGAAACACAATATTACCTTGGTTGGGTGGAAGTAAGAAGCGAGGTAGTCATTTCGATGGGTGAGAAGAAATAAAAGAAGCAGCACTCATAAGGGAGGTGAGGGGTACAGTAATCACGTGGGTGGGTGGTGAGAAACAGTACTCACCTGGATGGGTGTATATGAGCATCACGGTACTGACCTGGGTCCATAATGAGAGGTTGAGCCAGTCTGAGGAGCGCTATGTCGTGACAGCGATTACACCCACGCACTTTAAGGTACTCCTCGTGTACAATTATATTCTCCACCCGCATGTCTTGTGGCTCCTTCCTGCATTTCCCCTTCTCACAGTCCATGTCTCTACTAAGGTCATATTCGCCCGCCCTTACATACTCCCTGCCGACAACGTAGAATTTCCTGAGTATAAGTTAATTACATCTTCTTCCCATTATATGAAATCCCAAGAATTATTTTCATACTGCTTAGAAAAATGTGAAAATACTCGAATCACTTACATATTATGTACAAGTCAGAATCAGAATCACTTTCATATTTCTTACCAATGTACAATTGCCAGAATAAAAATCAGAATCATGTATCACCGGTCGAGAAAAATATTGTGTGTTAAGAAACATTTTGTGTGTGTGTGTGTGTGTGTGTGTGTGTGTGTGTGTGTTATGAAACAGTCAGTTAGTTATGTGTGATGAGACGAAATATTCGAATAGCTCAGATACAAAACTTAAACGAACAATATATGATAAATTGCCCCTCCCCACATGTAGAGGTGTTAATCGTTAAGGCAGTACTTGGTGAATGTGGAGAAGTTATGGCATTACCAAGGAAGCTTCTTGGAAAATTGTCTTTAGCTACACACTACATTCCACTTAAACTTTCTTGACTGGAGGACATTAATTCACTTCTTAAGTTCTTCCCTTTTTATTTTCAATTGGTCACTTGGCAATGGGCATATCCAACTTGATCATTGGCCACGTGTTACTCGTATAGCCCTTCAGAAGGTTCCTGTCCTGTGTACAACCAGAAGCAATAATTCCTACCCTCCCCCTCCAAGTAGCCGGAGCCACAGCCAATGAAGGCCGATGTTGAGGCAATATAACATCGCCAGCCACGATGGTTCCCAAACTACCCACCAACGTTTAAGCAGGTGAAGGGGAGGAAGGGTTTGTCCGATGGCCAGGCCTTCACTTGTCGTGGCTCCGGCTACTGGGGGGAGGGGAAATAATTATTCCTACCGACTGTACTTCCCTTTGTCTTTCACAAAGAAATAAAACTAATGCCAACACTTACAACTCGAAGCCGGAGCTGGAGTGGACACAGTGGGCGGCTGTCAGCACATAGCGGTCAGAGATGAGAGTACCTCCACAGAAAAACCTGCTGCCTACACCAGGTTCTGTAAACAGCAGAGTTAACTTTACTACACACTCCTTAATACAGCTCAACATTGTTAATAGGATTAGTAACAAAAAAGAGGAATAATTGTCCCTGAACTTCTCTCACCATCCTCCTCTTAGTTAACTGAACACCCTTCATCTCCACAGTCTGTGAGCATCACTGGAGGGACAATTAGACCCTAACTGTGTAGGGTGGCCCTGTGTGGTGTGGGTGGTGTAGGGTGGCCCTGTGTGGTGTGGGGGGTGTAGGGTGACCCTGTGTGGTGTGGGTGGTGTAGGGTGGCCCTGTATGGTGTGGGGGGTGTAGGGTGGCCCTGTATGGTGTGGGTGGTGTAGGGTGGCCCTGTGTGGTGTGGGTGGTGTAGGGTGGCCCTGTGTGGTGTGGGGGGTGTAGGGTGACCCTGTGTGGTGTGGGTGGTGTAGGGTGGCCCTGTATGGTGTGGGGGGTGTAGGGTGGCCCTGTATGGTGTGGGTGGTGTAGGGTGGCCCTGTGTGGTGTGGGTGGTGGTAGGGTGGCCCTATATGGCCCCTGTATGGTGTGGGTGGTGGAGGATGGCCCTGTATGGTGTGGGTGGTGTAGGTATTCTGTATCAATGTCTAGGTAGTGTAGTGTAGGTTAGGTTAGGTTAGGTTAGGTTAGGTTAGGTTAGGTTAGGTTAGGTTAGGTTAGGTTAGGTTATTTATGGTATTTTTTAATGTTAAGGGTTCATAGATTATAACATGACTGAACAACCTGGTGCGGTAATTATGTTTGTCAGCCTATAAAACAACCTTGAGTCTTTATCTTATTTCTAATTTGTGAGTCTTAATCATACTTGTGATTTGTGAGTCTTACTATTATCTGTAAGTAAAAAGTTTTAAGTCTTACCAGTGAGTCTTAGTCTTTCTTATTTGTTTATAGTGAGAATTTTAGTCTCATGATTCGTGTGAGATATGTCACTTTCTTAACCTTAAATGTTAGTATATGAGTCTTAATGGTGAGGCTTTGGTTTTACATAGTGTAGTGAGTGCCTTACCTCGTCCCCTCAAGATGACAATCCACGGCCAGTCCAGCAGGGAAGCGTCGGTGCCTCCTATAATTTTCTCCGTCAAGGCAGACACCCCGCAGACTTCCGGCAACAGATCCCGAGGCTGATATTAAGATTGATTAAGTTAGGATGAGTTGTGAAAGACTGAGTAGGCTGAATTTTGGCTATGTATATTAAGCTAGGCTAAAGTAAGGCTAGGCTTGGTTGGGCTAGGATAGACAAGGTTATTCAGTAGTAGTTTACATCTTTTTAACTTAAACAACATTAAAAATAACGAAGTTGAAATTAGAACGTTTTATTGTTATGTTTTCTTTAACGTTCAAAACTATAGATCACTATAGATCATATAATTGTTGTTTTATCAACCTCCCTCCCTACCCCGAACAATTAATTACAGACGACCGGAAGAAGAGATGAAAAGGTTTACCAAGTCTTATAAGGAAACAAACTTACCCACTAATCATATATCCTACATATAACTCCAATGCTTTAAAAGCCTTTTTAACCTTGTAGCTCTCTGATCAGTGATTTGAAGATCAGTTCTTAAAGTTAAAGTAGACAAACAAGAGAGCATTTGTTAGGTTTACTTTGTCACTAAACACCAAAGTAATTTAGAACAACAGACAAGAGTCAACATTTAGTTTTTACAGTAGCTCTTGCTCACACCGCTCTACAAACAAGCTGCAGTATGTTGCACACACACACACACACAGTTGACTTACTTTACTAGTCAATGGGCAGCATGAATTGGGTTTGTTGTTGACGAAGCCACAGATGGATCTGGTGAGAGGAATAATCGGTTAAGATAGCACACAGAGGCTATACAGGTCAGTGGTGACAGTGCACAAAAAGGTTCAGAACTTTTGTAATATTCTGTAGCAATAATTAAAGACTCAGGACTCCAGTAGTTATGGCAGAACACAGCATAAAAAGTAGTAGTGTATTAAAGCACTGAATGGATATTAAATACTGATGTATGTGTAGCAAAAAATTATTACATTATATTTATTGCAGTTATTTAATTTTCCTTGTATTGTGTGTATTGATAATAAGGAGGACTAAAATTTCAAACTTAATATAATTTATGAAACAGCACATTCAGTGAAGGGTTAATTAATACAAGGTTGTATGTTATCTAATAAGCTGTGGGTTTCACCTGTGAACCACTGCATTAAGTAAACAAAAAATACACTGAAGCTACATATTCGTAACTTTAGTCTCACAAATGACTTTAAAAGGTTAACATCTACCAATAATATCATACAGTATTATAATTCTCAGTGTCATTTACTTTAAATAACTTAATTTTTTTATAGTTATTACACCCTAAGTTCCGGTTCAGGCCGGAACATTATAAAAGTTCCTGTAAGTTCATGTTCCGGCCAGAATTTATTATTATGGTTCCGGTGCATCCGTACTTCGAAGTCGAGGATATGAATCACCTGAAGCAACATCATATATTTTGTAGCATTAAGACCGTAAAGTTGATCCACACCGAAATATATTAAATGAATCTTTGTATTTATTTTTCTGTGGGGGCAGAAGTGTGTGTGTGTGTGTGTGTTCCTTGTACATTTGCCTGAAAAAAAATAATTTGTCGGTGTCTACAGAAGTTTATCGTAAAACCCAAACGCACTCGATCCGTAACAAGTGACTAATGCACTGAAGATATCCCAAGAAAAGTTTGAAGAGCTTCTCACATGACCTGATAGATTCCTTGATTATGGAAACGCTATCTTGAGTGTCGACGTCATGACCATGGAAACCTGCCTGCTTTTCTTTTGGTTATGATATATTGATATGGTCGATGATATCCTGCTGACACTGTTGAGAGCATCTGGAGAAGGCCATTGGTAATTTAATCTTTTTGTGATTAAAGAATTTATTCCATGGTGTTTGAGGATGGTGAGGAAGGGAGACTTACTCTTTGAGGATGGTGAGGAAGGGAGACTTACTGGTTGAAGATGGTGAGGAAGGGAGACTTATTCTTTGAGGATGGTGAGGAAGGGAGACTTACTGGTTGAAGATGGTGAGGAAGGGAGACTTACTGTTTGAGGATGGTGAGGAAGGGAGACTTACTGTTTGAGGATGGTGAGGGAGCTACGTGGTTCTGTACCAGCACGGATTCTTTGCAGGAGGTTGAACAGCTCTGGACATTCGTCCGTGGGGATGCATACACCAGCACTTCCGCTGGGCGTCCTGCAGTCTGAGAGTCAATACTGTTGTTACTACAGTAGGTACTGTATGTATGACATCGTTTATTATGTGTTGTTACATGTTACAAGACTATGTTATTACATGCTGTGTGACACTGAGTAACTTTATCTTCTTAAGATATACTATAAAACTATTATTGCGTAAATATTAAATACAGCTTTGTTATCTAAGGTGGATGTTGTGTATATGTTAAGCAATGTTCACACTACAAAAAAAATATATTTCTTATTAAACAATGTTAATAAAACACTATTATTACCGTTTCTTTTGTTATACTTGGTTATCATACAGTATGTAATAATCATTATATTACTATAATACGTCATTTGATATTGCTGCTATGATATGTTGTGTAATATCTTTCTTATAAATGTAGTCGGTGAGAAAACCTGCTTTACCTGGGTGCAGATAGTGCACGGCCAGCCCCTGGGTCACCCGCAAGTTCATACTAAACTGTGAAAATCATGAAGAATATACACGTACACTTACACGCACACTTCGGTCCTCGTGGAGTGAAAACGTATACTTGACCAACTGGGACTTGTAAGTATTCTCATTCAAATGAATAGTTACAATGATATTACAAATCAAATTAAGTTATCATAAATTATTATTACAAAGACACATGAAGGAATTCTAGTTACATATAAGATGGAACACTGAGTCAAGTAATATAATGGGAGGAACTTTGGTCAGTAACATAAAGGAAGGAAATGGTCCTCAACAATACTCACTAGAATTCTGAGCGCTGACAGCAGCCACCAGTAGCATGAACAATAGCGACCAGACCCACATCCTACTCTCTCCGTAGGCAAACACCTGAGGGAAAAACACACACATATTGTCTAAATTACATTACAGTCAGAATGTATTGTTTGAGTTATCTCTGTTCGGCGCGCGCGCGCGCGCACACACACACACACACACACACACATACACACACACACACACACACACACACACACACACACACACACACACACCATCACCACCAAACACCACCATCACTACCATCGTCTCCATCACTCAACAACACCACCACCATCACTACCAGTCAACACCATCACCACACGCCTCTTCGCTTTAGTAGGAAAAATATAAAACCAAATATTTCTTCTTGTCTGAATGATGACCGCCAAACTTCACTTCCATAACTCACAGGACCTCGCTGGCCGTGTAAGTGTTGAGGGTGGTAATGGAGTTTTCACTTTCTGGTCCTTTCCTTTACTTGAACCTCATGGATTAACCTTATAGCTTTATCTCATAGTTGAACCTCACAGCTTAACCCTATTGTTTATCTTCACAGCTTAACCTCACAGTTGAACCTCACAGCTAAACCCTATTGTTTATCTTCACAGCTAAGCCACACAGCTTTATCTCATAGTTGAACCTCACAGCTTAACCCTATAGTTTATCTTCACAGCTTAACCTCACAGCTTTATCTCATAGCCTTACCTCACAACTTAACCTTATAGTATATCTTCACAGCTTAACCTCACAGCTTTATACTTTATACTGAGAGTGCTCTGCTATCCTTTACTAATGACATCTTAAATTCCTTTGATGACAGTCAGTTCACAGTCGGTATATTCTTGGACCTCTCTAAAGCCTTCGATACTGTCGACCATACCATCCTCCTTTCAAAGCTTGGACATTACGGCGTTAGGGGCCTGTCCCACAATTGGTTTACCTCATATCTGTTCAACAGGATGCAGTATGTCTGTTACAATAACCACCAATCTGACTCCTGGCCTATCTTTTATGGAGTCCCCCAAGGTTCAATTCTCGGTCCAGTACCGTTTTTGTTGTACATAAACGACATAGTCCACGCCAGCCCACTCATAAAATACAACTTATTTGCAGACGATAGTAATCTCTATGCCAGCAACTCAGACCTCCATTCCTTGATGAGAACTATGAACACTGAATTAACTATAGTCGGGACCTGGGTAATACGTAATAAACTGACCCTAAATCTTGAGAAAACCCACTACACGATCTTTCACAGAAGAAAAAACTTACCTCCAGACTTGAACCCTCTGTACCTTGGTAATATAGTCCTCAAACGCGAACAAAATACTAAATTCCTCGGAGTTATTGTTGATGAGAAACTTAACTGGAGAAACTTAAGAGGTTTCGGATTCACGCTCAGATACCCTCAGGGTTTACGCCTTATGGAAAGATTTGGTTGACAAAGCTGTCCCCAACTGTACTACACACCTGACTAAGAATTCTGAACAACACTCATTTACTATGGTGATTCTTGTTAATTTCACTGTATTAACTATACATATACGTGATATACAGAATACATCGTTACATACCGGATCATACAATCAGAAGTACTGTACCAACCTTACCAAATAAAGATGGCTTAAAGGGGTGCTGAACATCTTTTTTTTTACTGTACGTAAGTAGATATACAGGGTGTTCCGTAAATACCTTTCATAAATCAGGGGGTTTATTCCTGAGACGTAAATAACGATACATGACTAAATGACCAAATTTTCAATTCTCAATAATTTCAGAGTTTCAGCACATGACAGGTCTGGTAGGAATGTGATGAAACCTATATGGGGTGTATATGAAACATCAACTGCTGCTAGTGACGTTTATTAACAATAATAATGACATATGATTTGTATTGGTATTAACATTTAGAGGAAATGTTCAAGTTCCGCCCCTCTTGCTCATGCAGAGCTCAGCCCGTCGCACCAGTGAGTGTCGCACACGTTCACAGACCCCAGGGGTGTTGTGAATGTTCGCCACACTGTCCTGTACAAGGCGCCACAATTCCTCACGGTTTGGGACCTCTGTAATATACACCTTGCTTTTTATGTGACCCCACAGGTAGAAGTCAAGGGGATTTATGTCAGGTGACCGTAGGTTTCATCACATTCCTACCAGACCTGTCATGTGCTGTAACTCTGAAATTATTGAGAATTGAAAATTTGGTCATTTAGTCATGTGTCGTTATTTACGTCTCAGGAATAAACCCCCTGATTTATGAAAAGTATTTACGGAACACCCTGTATAGTTAGGTGAAACATGATAGATTTAGTGTACTCATCATGCCTATTTTATATTATATTTACCCTACTTTTAACCATGCATTTTCTGACGCACCTATTTTGACTCCTAACCTTTAACCATATCGTTCATGGCGTACCGATTTTTTTAACTATGGCGCATCGATTTTGATTCTTAATACCCGATTTATATCATCCTTTTATTCTCGCTCTCCTCATACCCATTTCTCTTTGTTCTACCTTCCTCTCTTACAGTCATGCACCAGGTGAACGTAGACAGCCCGGCTCCCAACAGTTGCGACAGAAACCCGGTTAAAGGCGGCAATTGTGGCCTGATGAAATCTGTCATCTCTGTATTTTATCAGGATGTGTGGATAATACCCACTCATCCTGGTAAAACTCTTTCACGGAGTGTGTTTGTGTGCGTGTGTGTGTGTGTGCATCGATTATTACAAACACGGGATTTCCCCCTAAAGTAAAAAAAAACAGGGGGACTCCCCAAAGAACTAGTGACTAGGTAATTATTGGCCCAGCCGTCTTCTTGCCACAGTAAAACCATTAAGTATGATATTTATTGTAACAATATTATGAACACTTCTAGAGGCGACACGCTACTTCCTCCTCAACACCGCCAGGGTATACTGAATAGTGCCAACCTTCGACTAACGAATTATCCTGAAGAACACTGGAAGAGATAAGCACAATATCCACAAGACAGACGGACAGTAATAATAGTGGTAATGGTGGTAGTAGTGGTATGTAGATGTGGTAATAATAGTGGTAATGGTGGTAGTAGTGATATGTAGGGGTAGTAATACTAGTGGTAGTGATGGTGGTGGTGTCCCTAGCATGAATAGGTAGTAGCAATGATGATATTGGCAGATAGTTATAGTAGTAGTAGTAATGGTAGGTAGTACAAGTAGTAACAACCGAGGTCAAGCAAGTGGCATATGCTGACGACCTTACAGGAGCAGGAAAAGTGGAGGACATCAAAATGTGGTGAGACCTAAATGGTCCACAAATAGGGTACCACCCAAATGCCAGCAAGTGCTTCCTCATTGTGAAGCCAGAACATTATGAACGGGCAATGGAAGTGTTCGGCGGAAATGAGGTCAAAATAAAAAAGGATGGCCAAAGACACCTGGGCGCAGTAATCGGCACGACGGACTTCAAGACCGAGTATGTAACAGGAAAGGTGAATGAGTGGGCTAGGGAAATCCATGCTCTGTCTGATATTGCTAACACAGAGTCACATGCGGCTTTTGCTGCGTTCACCCATGGAGTCAAGCATCGCTGGAACTACCTGATGCGTACTATCCCAGATATCGGACCCCTCCTCCACCTTCTGGAAGAAGCTATCAGTGTCAATTTCATTCCCAAATTAGTGAAACATCTTCACTTAACCCCAGCAGAAAGATCACTCCTTGCACTACTACCGAGACTGGGAGGAATGGGATTGACCAATCCAGAGGAGATTGCTGCCACCGAACATCAAAACTCAGTTAAGCTCAAGGCAGCTCTCACCGACCACATAATAGCTCATAACGCAACAGGTGATGTGGATACCAGTGAAGTAAACAAGATTCGACGATCCATTACGACAGAACGACAGCATGGCCAAAGTGATAAGTTGCAGCAACTGTTGCTGCAAGTACCAGAGAATTTGAAGAAAAAAAGAAGTAGCTATAGCGCAGGAGGTGGGCACCTCGAACTGGTTAACTACATTACCGATAAGGGCAAATGGTTTCAGTCTCAATAAACAAGAATTTACAGATGCCATTTCTTTAAGGAACGGTAGGCCAGTAGAAGGTTTGCCCTCCGAATGCGTGTGTGGCTCTTCCTATGACGTCGATCACGCCATGGTGAGCAAGAATGGGGGCATCATATGCATGAGTCATGACGAAGTAAGGGATCTCACAGCAAATATGTTGAAGGAAATCTGTCGTGATGTCAGGGTAGAACCGACCCTCCTTCCATTGGACGGTGAGAATTTCCAACATAGGACTTCAAACACATCCAACGAAGCCCTTGTTGACGTCAGTGCTCGAGGATTCTGGACGCGGGGACAGCGAGCCTTCTTCGACATCAATTCATTTTTTTTAATTTCAATTGTTCATTCCTTGATAGAGGAAGCGGGATCCTAGTGCTGTCACTAGGTACCCCTGTACAATAACACCAGAAGCATCTGGCAAGTGTGACAAGTATATACAGTATAAATATTATATAGGGGCTTACTAAGGCCTAAGGAAGGAAGGATATTCCTTTAACACATAATCAATGTTATTTACATAATATCTGGCCAGTATGGGGAGGATCATCGTGTCTCCGTCAAGGGGTCGTGGAGTGGTGGTCCAGCAGGTGTCACGGAAGCGTTGTGTGTGGGGACATCTTCGGAGGTAGTGGATAAGGGTGCGGCTGTCGGGGCTTCTGCATAATGCACAAGAGCGTTGCTCAGGGGATGCAGGGATACCAATCTCCAAGATCTTCGACATCAGGATTTTTTTTATCCCATGGCCGCATGTCACCGTAACTTAGCTCTCGATGCTGCACACAGGAGGAACGAGAACGACAAGATAGGGAATACGGGCTAGAGAATTCAAAACGTTGATCAAGGCAGCTTCACTCCTCTGGTGGTCACAACCTCTGGTGGGATGGGAGCAAGTGCAAGATGCTTCCACGTCAGACTCTCGGAGGTGCCATCCGAACAGAAGCAGCAGCCCAGCAGTTATGCTACAGCCTGGATGAGATGTCGACTGTCCTTCTCTCTCCTTACGTCTGCTTTGCTCTACCTCAGGGGAACGAAAGCATCGGCCCCAAAGCCGACAACAGTTGCAGATATTGACTATGAGGCAATAGTCACTGAATGCCGCATAGATCTGCGGCTCAACTAACTCAACACAGCTAGGGTAACTATTTATGCATTAGGATATTAAATTTTAAGGTAATAAAGTGGCGGCGAAGGTGTGGCTATTGGGGGAGGCTGAAGGCCACGTTAAAAAAAAAGTACAAGTAGTAACAGAATTAGTAGTAGTAATAGTTGTATTTGTAGTAGTGGTGGTAGTGGAGGTAATATTAGTGGTGATGGTGGTGGTAGGCGGTGGTAGTAGCAGTAATAATAATGGTGGTGGTAGGTGGAGGTAATAGTGATGATGGTGTTGGTAGGTAGTGGTGGTAGTAATAGTAGTAATAATAATGGTGGTGGTAGGTGGAGGTAATAGTGATGATGGTGTTGGTAGGTAGTGGTGGTAGTAATAGTAGTAATAATAATGGTGGTGGTAGGTGGAGGTAATAGTGATGATGGTGTTGGTAGGTAGTGGTGGTAGTAATAGTAGTAATAATAATGGTGGTGGTAGGTGGAGGTAATGGCATGATGCGTCACTAGGTACACATTAATAAGGGCAGCTACTATAGATAAAGCTGCAACATCTGGATGGTAATTCATATTGTGTGAGCTGATCCTAAAGTATGGCGCGTGAAGTAAAGGATGTCATGTTGATCGTGTTTCATAAGAACATAAGAATGAAGGTAACTTGTTCCATTCATCCACTACTCTGTTTCCAAACCAGTGTTTACCTATTTCCCGCCTAAATCTAAATTTGTCTAATTTAAAACCATTGTTACGAGTTCGCTCCTGGTTGGATAGTTTGAGTACCTTTGTAATGTCCCCTTTGTTTAGCCCTGCCTTCCGCTTATACACCTCTATCAGGTCGCCCCTCGCTCTACGTCTCTCAAGGGAGTGCAAATTAAGATGCTTTAACCTGTCTCTATACTCAAGGTTCCTAATGCCCGGGATTAGTCCTGTCATTCTCCTCTGAATTCTTTCCAAGGATTCTATATCCATTCTGTAATACGGTGACCAGAACTGAACTGCGTAATCCAGGTGTGGTCTCACAAGAGCAAGATACAGTTTTAGGATGACCTCGCTAGTCTTGTAACTAACATTCACCGGATGTACTGCAATGCACTGCTGGGTTTACACCAAAGAGTCGTCATCTTTAACGTAATCTCTGGCAAATCATGAGTTTTATAGAGATTAATTTAAGTTTACAACATTATCCTGAACTAATAAAAGTGGATATTAATGTCTAGTATACAAGTATCTATCATCTGCAACTAATTATATTAAACAAACGAAATTTTAGTCGATTATCTCATTCGTGTAAAACAGAAAAAGTCCAGGTACTAGAATAGAGCCTTTATGAACACCTCAGGCAGAAACTACAGGGTAAAAGTCATTGAAGGACACGTTGTGATTCCTGTTTGACTGGTAAGATACGAACCCTTACTATTTTTAAGCGTCTTCCTCCATTGTGATATTATTGTGATCACAAAATGCTGTTGTGAACTATTGTACATACCACCTATAGTGAGTGATGGACAATATATGGAATGAAACTTTGGATGGAAGATTGTAATGTATAACGCTGCAGCTATGGGCGTAAGAACATTACTGACCATTGAAATGACCTTGGACAATAAGATCAGAAAGTATAGGGTGCCATAATAAAACTTTGGCTTACAGTACTTCCGGCTAGACCTTTGTTCGGTGTGGCAGCCTTTATGTAAACACAATAGACTTACGGTTGACGGCGCTATATTTGACGGAGACTACGTATAACACTACCACGGCGCACCTTGTGGAAAAACACTGACCAGGTAGGTTCTTCCCAACTCACTCACAGCTGCGCGACGTGTCTCCTCCCCCAACACTGTGTGTGACCAGTTACCAATAAACACACTGTATTTTAACAGGATATGGCCCTAATAGCCACAGAAATAATATTAAGGAATTAAACATGCAGGAAAAACCTAATAATGTGTTACTTATAAGATAGTTTTGTTCTTAAATATGAACGGTGGTGTTATTATGGCTGTACGAGTGTACCCTAGGTTGCGTAAAATAAGGGAGCTTCACTGGTGGGCTACAACCCTTGCAGTGGAACGCAATTTCTTTTATAGTTGGTTCGTGTTTAATGATGGAGCAAAACGTTCTAATTGCAGTCACTTCTCTCGTCTTTCATCTGGTGTAAAGTAACGCTGAAGTAGTGTGGTGTCCATGATGCATTAAGTGTAAAAAAAATAATAAGTAGAAATACATCCAAACTTAATAAGTAATTTTTTTGTGGTTCTTTTCTTCTCATGTCAACAAACCATAGTTGTTTAACATGTATCTAATACTTTTTTCTATTTTCTTAATATAAAATTTATTATTTTAATTTTTATCATATTTCATCTTTGAAATAGTTTGAAATTAGAAAAATGCTAAATGCTTAGTGAAGTTTATTCCCACATAAATGTTTGTGTTACCAAGATCGGAAGTTGTGGTTCAGTACATAATAAACGAACAGCATGATAACCTGCTCCCCCCTCCCAGGCAGGGCAGGCTGGGGAATCCCGCAAGTAGACAAGGACTGTTGGTACCTTCCTACTCGTATTACTGTATGTCTCTCCCTCTTCCCTTGGTCACTAGAGGCAGGAGTGTCTCGGTTCATATTAAAAGTCATTTTGACCAGGTACCAAGCTCCTATATTTCATTCTCACGTGTGTTATATTGTGTTATTGTCTTATATATATATATGTTATATTCCCCGTGAATGTCTTTTACTGAGAGTCACTGACTTCCTCGTTGACAAATGTTTCCTTAATCTCCACCGCTCTGAACCCAAGGCATGCCTACCAGTTCTCCACACTAGCCCAGCACACGATCATTCTGAAGTACGTCGCCTAAGTGTGTGACTTGTCTGAGTTTTTATTTCATGGCTACAAGTGACAGGACGACTCATGAAGACAGTAGTAGTAATGGTGATAGTAATACAGAGGCAGAGGAAGGGAATATTAGGATTATTTATTATAATAACACAACTATTACATTGTGTAGTTGTGCGCAAAAAATTACACAAAAATCTACAACTGTTTCGCTTCAACATCGCCGTCATTACCTCAACCTCTTTTAAGTGTTGTGGCGAGCAAACTACGAAGAATCCGACATTTCGTCATATTTCTTGGAACATTGTTTATTCAAGGTCACCCAACAGACATACGTCACCAGACAGACACACGTCACCAGACAGACACACGTCACCAGACAGACACACGTCACCAGACAGACACACGTCACCAGACAGACACACGTCACCAGACAGACACACGTCACCAGACAGACACACGTCACCAGACAGACACGTCACCAGACAGACACACGTCACCAGACAGACACACGTCACCAGACAGACACACGTCACCAGACAGACACACGTCACCAGACAGACACACGTCACCAGACAGACACACGTCACCAGACAGACACACGTCACCAGACAGACACACGTCACCAGACAGACACAATTAAAGGGAGCCAGGTCTTCATACAGGGTGCCACATGTCATAAGACTTACAGTAAATGTGAATTCCTAAAGTTTTACAAAGACTGACAGCTAAAACTTTTGCGAAAGTCAGTGTCTACCAAGTGACTGGTCAGATTATCCCCAGTCCTAATGGGAGTTAGTCCTGATGTGCTCCAGTCCTTACGGGACTAGATCTAATGGGATTTAGACCTAATGGGCCCCCATTCGTAATTCGCCTGACCTACTGGAACATGGCCATAACGTATTTACAGGTCACATGTACTGTGTCGTCATACTCAGACCAGGTCTTGGTGTCTTCTATTTCTTACAAGGAGAGGCGCTCCCGTAAATATCTCTCCCCCTCTCCCTCGTCTCCACCTTCGCAAAGTCCACACAACTCGGGCTGAATTAAGCCAAACTTCTGTATAAAAACTCATAATACACGATTTCCATTTCAATAGAAAGTGGAATAGATTAATTCCACAACTCATAAAGATAAACCTTTCATCTTTTCAAACCCTGGCAGATGGGTTTTCTTCATCGTATAAAACTTCCTTATCGTTCATTACATGAGGAATTCCAATACTGAGCGCCGTCACCCTGCTCCTGGGACTAATGCTTCACCCTTATTATCTCTGTGTGAGAGATGAACTCTGTCTTTCTTTCACTCCCTTATTCTCTCATCTTGACTTTCTACTTGTTTCTCTCTTTCTGTTATTTTCTTTCATTTTCGGGATATTACGTTTGCCAAGCTTAACAACACATGTGGCCATAAGTCAGCATAAGAGAATACCTGATTCTAGGGAACTGATGACAGAAGATAGAAAGAATATTACAATAGCGAAACTAGAGGCCGTTCGTTCACATCTAGACGATGAACCGATGCCCTGGAATGTCTTACTCCTGTCTTCGCCTAGAGGATAAGATCGAGGGCGGGAGTGTTGACTCATCTCGAGCCTAAACACAGTATTAAGTAAGACCATGTTGACTAAAACCGAAGGGCGAGACGGCTATGTTTGGGCACAGGAGGATACTATACTACCAAAAGAATGTCTGGATAACAAAGATGTGTACACCACACGCATGTCCTTGTACCTTAAATCTTTATAAAACAGTTTAACAATAATTCATACATTAAGAATAACGTTAGAATGAAGTTGCCTGTTTGTAAAATTAAACTATTTTTCTTCCATACTGACGTTGCCAGGAATGAGTAGAAACGTTAATGACAGTATTGCTTTCCCCTCTGTCAATCATTTCGGCTAAAGTTAACTTACCACTAATTGATGGCATAAATATTTGAACAACATCTCCGATAATTCGCAAGAAAATTATTGTAGTAGAGTGCAGAGTGTTGTATGAATCTATCATTAAGGATTCTCCAATGTTCTGTATAATGAAAAATAAAGAACAAGGCAAGTTTTATGGAGGTTGTTGGTTATTATTATTATTATCATTATTATCATTATTATTATTATTATTATTATTATTATTATCATTACACACAAACGGACATGCTCAGCAGGACTTAAAAACAAGAGTTCACGCAGGAGTTCTCACGTATTTTTCTATATGGTAAATCACCAGTGTATAAAGTATTACGCTCTTGGCTGGGGAGTAAGTTTTCGTTCCTGTCAAAAGTTTAGGAATTTATGGTCATCAAGAAGGAGGAACTTGATAACCCAGCGCCTTGATGATGATGGATGACTTGTGTGACGAAGAACTCTATCTTTATCTCTTGTCTGACCAATATTCTGCAATGTATTTCTATTTGTCTGTTATCTCTCCCTCCTCCTCCTCCTCCTCTCATCATCTTCTGTCTCCTCTTTATCGTGGAGTGTATCAGAGGAAAGAAAAAAGGATTTGGGAAGATAGGTATAGCCAATCGTTACTTTGTATAACCAAAATTTAAAAAAGATAAAACCAGACGATAAAATTATTGAAATACGTTGCCATATTCTAGGTAAAAATAGTTGTTTCAGCAGCGTCAGTCAATTAGTACTCCGCTCATTATCCCTCTCTCATCAACCCTGTCAACACACCCAGCGTAACTCATCATTTTTACTGCTGTTGTTTATCTAAACAGTATTTGATTACATACATTAAAATACAGAAGGACGTGTAGGTCCGTCCGTCCGTCCTTCATTTTGATGATTTTCGTTCGTTTACGCGTCAGATCATCCACCTGAGTGTCTGTTCGTTGGCCCGGGTGTCTGTGTCAAAGTTCAAGGTACAGCTGAAGTTCTGAATCCGGACCGGGATCATGTGGTTTAACTGAGATACATAAACAAGCTGTTGTAGTCATGCACACTGTGTACTAAACCTTCGACTTACAAGGTCACAACGTGGCCGCCACTGCCCTCTCCTTGAAATGGAGTAGAAAAGGTTGGGGGTGTAGAGGCCGCTCATACCTCACTGGTGAAGAGTCGTCCTATCACCTCTGAGGAATTTGCGTGTTTAGCCACGATCCACTTTCATCCACTTCATTTGAGGTTACAAGATGGGAACTTTGTACCCATCCCAGGTATTTGAAAGTGGTTCGTTCGAGCCCCCACGCCACGACAAGGTAACGCAAATTCGGGCACTAGATGCAATTTTACTTGAGGGGGATAGAAGTCATAACTCTGACAAAAGAAAGAGTCGGAAAGCCTTTATTATCAAACTCCTCTTAGATGTCAAAATTCATTTCAATTCACAAAGACTTCCTCTGGCTGGTGAACAGAAACGAAGTTCTTATGAAGGGATGGACACTATACTCCCTCTTATTATCTGGAGGAGGTATAAAACATGCGGCTATATTGTCGTAACGCGACAGGAAGGTTAGATGATGACCTGAAGTAAAGTTTCGTGGACCTGAAGAAGGTCGGTCAAAAAGAAGTGTAACTATAGCACCATACAAGAACCAAACGGGGTCAATTAATTATTCATAATGTCGGATGCGAATCAGCTCAGAGTCACTTAAGTTTGATGGAGGTGCACTGGGTGCTGACCAAGAAGGAGTTGATTTGTTGTTTTTAATATCACATCAGATACTCGGTCACACAGGCACCTATACGATAATGTTTGGTGTGTATAGTGCGTGATATAGGTCTTGTTGGTTCACTATTACTACAAGATGTCATGTTTATTGATCGTAGTAACTTACTGTACTCGTCACAGCAGCTGATGTATATTGTACTGTATGGCTATATTACAGACCCGAGACTACGTATCTAAGTTTATTATTCTTATTGGCTGATGATTACTGTTCTTATGGAAATCACTTAGGCTGCTAGCAACGGTAAACACTCAAGTATTAACAAGAGAGTTACGCGTCTGTAGTATCATAACGTGTGAATCTAACTCGCATTGAA